GAGTTACTATTATTGATCGTGATGTGGTTAAAAACAACCTTTATGGAAGGGATGGATGAAAATTACAGGGGTTTCATTCAAGATGCAATAAGAACCATGAACATGCATGATTGATTAGATTTCTGTCAGTTTTTATACTCGTTGAAGTGGAGATTGTCCATCCAAGAGATGGTACTTCTGTGGCTCAAAAAGTCATGTCACTCTTCAAGATTATTGGCAAACTGGGGAGTATTCAAGGAGAGTTTTCAACAAAAAGAAAAAAAAAGAATTTATCCATAAAAAACGAATCAACTAAAAAAATTCAAAGCAAACTTTCTTCCTATGGATGCAAAATGTAAGGCTTAAAAGAATAATTCTCAAACAATTGTTGCAGGTTCTTTTAGGGAATAAACTGAAACATGATACGCAAGTTGTGGAAAAAGAGAAGTTGAAACGACAGCAAAATAGAAACATGGGTGTGTTGGTCCAATCAAATTAGGGGCCAGGGTGCACTAATATCCGGTGGGATTGGCAGTAAGACATTAGGAGAGTATCGAAGCAGTAGTAGGAGAAGGGAAGGAGAGTAATTTCATTGATGAAACGAGGATAATTCCCAATTCAGGAAAATGTGGAGGCTGGTGACAAAGAATTTTAAGGCCAATTGTGCCTTCAGTGATCAAAGAATTCCATGCGCCAAATCAAAAATTGAAAATTCAGAGATCTTAGCTTCCAATAGTAATATTCAATGATAAACATTAAAAATCAAACGAGAAGAAAATAAAGTAACATATTCTACAAACTACATAACAAATCCTTAGAAACAGACAGACAGTTTAAATTCCCCACTTCCCATAACTTCTCAGATCATCCACTTGGTCCTATTGAGTAAAAAAATTATTTATTTTCGTTCTCTTTTTCTACTTCATTTGATCTAATTTTGTGTCTTTATTTGTTTAGCCCCAAAGCTTAGAAGATTTATATGTTTTTTCTTCTTTTTCTTTACTTTAGTATCTTCATTTTCTGTGTTATAAATGTGTCCCAAATATATCTAAAATTTTAAAATAATAATGATCAATTGAAACGTTATATCATGTCCAGGATCTGAGCAAAATAGCTTTTATACAAACGCACGTCATCAAATATCATTTGACTTAATTTAATCTCATGCAGTCCCATGAAGGAGACAATCATGCTTTCAAATCTACATAAAGAAATATGATTAAGCCCACTTTAAAAAAAAATTCATTCTAGGATTATATCTCTGTAAAGCAATTTCCAATAACTGGGGCATAGATCAGTCTTAAATCATAAAAGAGAACCATTAATAAATACTCTCTTTATGAAGAGAAATATTGGATGCATTCTACACAAGATCACACCTTATTTTGTCATGTTGTTTACCTTCTTCCATTGGTTCAATAAGCGTCACATTATCGTGCATAGAACCACATTTTTAACACATAGGATCATAATTGAACATTTTTAAGGTTTAGGTATTAAATAGACTAAGTTTGTAATTTAAACCAAGAAAAGTTAAGGTTTGTTTAAGAACTATTACCAGAGTAATTTAAAGTTTTGAAGGACAAGAATTCAGTAAAAAAAAAATGGTTGGACAGTTGTCCTATAAAATTTTCTTTCTACCATTTTCCTTACTTTAACCTCACATGTGATTTATTATTTTCAGAACAAATCAAGTTATTCTTTCTTTCCAAATCACGAATCCAACAGGTAATTTCAATGTTCACAACAATTTTAAACATTACACCTTTACTTAATGAAAACATATACACCAATCGGTTTTGGAAAACAGGTTTTTCAACCAAAATCAAACTATGAAGCTAATTAGCCAAGTAATTTGCACAAAACCAACTATTATTAACGGAAAATCGGAAGGGAATTCAGATCGAATATCCTCTGCCTAGCGTTTAACAGTAGAAATTAACTTCTATTCAACAAAGAAATTGCAGGAAAGATCAACAACAAATGAACAAAACCATTATCTATGATATAAGGTTAGCATCTTTAAGAGATCCTAGAATCATATTCAGTTTTCCAAACGTCAAAACATACAAGGAATGGCAAACAGATAGATCAAAAGTAAGAATAAAAAATCTACTAGATCAACAAAATTCTGGGATAAATTCCAACAAACTCCAAAACACATCTACATTAGAAAGCCGATACTCACCAGCTTCAAAGTTCAAGGAAATCTAGATCCAAGAGAAGTCAGAAGGGAGAGATCAAACTGCACCTGAAATCGCATTAGCACAAATAAAAACACAACATCATTTAAAGGGTGCGTGTAAATAGCAGAGAGCTAACAACAAGAACGTGCTTAGCAGAACAAACAGGATGGAATTGATTAAAAAAAAAAAAACCGAACAGGCACATGGGCTTGACTTTAATCCATGTGAGAAAAAAACAATAATTCAGAGAAATATAAGTTCAAGAGAAGACAATGGCCTCTTAAAAAAGGGAAAATCCAAATCAACGGAGATCCTCACAAGAAAAATTGACAAGAATTAGAAGAAACACGAAACATGTAGCATTTAAACCGCGATTATTACAAGACGAAGAGAACCGAAACGGAAACGATAAAAACCCCAGAGTGAAAACGATACCGAAAAACGCAGAGGGTGAAGAACTGTATGTAAATCCGTCCAAAATTCAGGGAAACACAGTAGAACACGAATCAAAGATTTAAAAACGGAAGTGAGAAGAGAGTAAGGGTTTTAGAGGAGAAAACGGGAGAAGGAGGCGACGAAATCGAGGGAGTTACAGGCAGAAGAGAGATAGATTAGCCATTCCATTACCTAACAGCGGAGAGAGAGAGACGGCGAATCGTTTGTCATTTCCACGCCACTTTCTCTTTCAGTTTTGTTCGTACATTCATCGTATGGAAGAAGATTGCGTGACCATTAGGAGGAGAGAAGGAAGGAACGTGAAGACACGCGCTTGAGAAGCGAGTGGGAGGTGAAGTTATGATGTGGCTTGGCTACGCCGTCGCGAGAAGCCCGTTTTCTTGCATTGAAAAGGCGGAGACTTGGGTCGGGTTCTCATCGCACGGCAGATCTGATCGGATTTGATCGGACGGTCGTGGTGAGGTTGCTTCGATGGCTGTTTAGATGACACGCAATCCTTAATTTTATCTTTCATCCTATTTCAGCTTTTGAACCAAAACCACCCAACTTACTCCATCTATATTCTTAAATAGCCGATATCGTCAGCCTCACTGTTTTAAAACGTGTTTACTGTAAAAACGTTTCCACACCTTCATAAGTAATGTTTTGTTCCTCTCTCTTCAACCGACGTGGAATTTCACAGAAACATACACAGATCGGGACGTGATTCAATAGTGAATATGTATTCTAATGTAAAGCTACGTATGGGTGTGGTGCTTGCCGCACACATTCTGATACTATCAACGAGTTAAAAGTATAACAAATTTAGGTTTAGATAACGAACTTTGGGTATAGGCATGCAAAGTCCAAATTTGATCCAATTGGTCAAAATTACTCATAACATTAAAAGTCCAAATTGAGCGTGTAGATTTTGTTTATGAATTATTTGGGCCAATACAAGGTGCTTTGTATTTGATTAGACTTTAGTTTGAGGCCTTCTTGGTTAAGTTTGTGGGTTTTATGGGCTTTTGGAAACACTTATTTAATACATGAACTAAGCGTTTACTACCATATTTTATGGTATTTAGAGTGAGTTTTAAGTAAATAAAAGCTTAGTTTTGTAAAGAATGTGTTAAGTTTTGGTGTTTAGTGTACAACTATAAAAATGGACTAATACGTAGATTTTATCGAATACCTTAGAGATTCAATAACAAATCGAGGTCAAACAATTATTGTACAAGGCTGGAGAACATCACTTTCAGACGCATGCGGGCACAGGGAAAGTGTCTTCTCCCTTGCCGAGAGGTAAGAGAGAGAAGAGAGAAAATCATCTAAGCAACTCCGACCTGGGAAATAATTTATCCTATTTTCCGAATTTGGTTACTTTTAGTATTTAGTTTGTAGTTTGTATTCTATTTAACGTTGGGAATATGAATGAAAATTGGACTTTCAATCTCACTCTTATTTGTCATTCTTAACTTGATATCAGAACTTCTCATTCTTAACATATGCAAAACCATATGAGAACACAGATAAGACTTTTGCGTTCGTTATGTTGGGACGTGGACATACAAAAAAGAATTTGTAAATAAAGGATAGTACTAAGAAGAATTAGTATCTCCGACCTAGGTCAACTAAGTAAGTGGCCTTACGGTCAACTTGGTTGAGAGATTTGTCTTATGTATGCTGACACGTGCCCAGTAGCCCTAGCAGTGTCATGCATGTTCATGTGATATTATGATGATGTGAGTTAATATGACATTATGATGTATTATAATGATGTCATGATGTTGTGATACGATGTACTATGATGTTATAATTTGTTAAGATGATAATGTATTATGACATGATGACATAAGATATATAATGATGATATGACATAATATGATGATGTCTCATATTACAATGATGTGCATGTATGAGATGTCATGCTACAGATGAAGAACTTTCTGATATATAATCCTTATAATATTATAAATGATGAATGTATGAAGGCTTATGCATGTATGTTATCTAGAGTAACATAGGAAAGATGTGTGAGATTGTGTTACGTGAATAATTTAAAATGAAAATTATAGGGATTAGGTTCATTTTCATTCGATTACTTTTCCATTTTATGATGATGAGTACAGACACGTACACTATGATGACGATAATGATCATTATGCCTTGCATGATATTATATTGACCTAGGTTAGAATGTTTTTTCCCGGTAAACATTGGTGGGTTGATAAATAATTACTCAAATGACCCAATAAAAAAACTTCCTTAATGTTTAAGAAAACAACATTACCCAAAAAAAAAAAAAAAAAAAATCCCCAAATCTTGTTTTATTCTTTTTAAAGTAAATCTTTTAAAAAGTTATGAAGTCCCAAAATCCCATCAATTTTATATTTCAAGTTGCCATCTCAAAGCTCGAGTACCGCCTCTCGTAATATTCTCGTGAAAAAATGTTCATAATATTACATTTTCTTCGTCTAAGTCTCTCTCTCTCTCTCTCTCTCTCGAGTAATCGCTCTCTCTACAAATCGTTTCCCGAGTAGCTATCCTCTCGTTAATTATGTCCTTCCAAAAAATCTTCATCATTTCAATTCAATCCCTAATTCCACAACCGTTTCTATCTTGACTGGTGGTTGTGGATGAGAACTGAATTGGTAAATCGTATAGGGACCAAAATGGAATAATTGAAACACGAACCGACCCGAGTCAGACACTTAAGCCATCAAAACCACATTGCTTGTACGTAAGAGACTGCTTCCTTGGACTGATCACAATTGCACAATCCACTGAAACCTGAACAATCCCAGAAGGAGAAGAAAAGGAAAGCATTGTAAAAATAATTGAAAGTGAAAGAATAATATTATAAACAAAAGAATAGAAAATGGGAAGAGATGCATCCAAAAGTCACATGGGGCAAGGAATGATCCAAAAGTTCCTTTCATCTCCTAAATAATGCAACTTTTTGATATTAATATTAGCTGTCACCATTACTTCTCCCAGAGAGACGAGATCCAATTGTCCACCCGAGTATGAATCTTTTTATCGAAGGATCAGAAAAGAAAGGGCACGGAGAATATCGAAACAAAACATAGTGGTATTTGCTAGCAACAACATAACGAAGGCAAACCCTGACTCGAAATAGCACTTGTGGGTATAACTTCAAAGGTATGGTTTGAACCTCCGTTTCACTTAAAAACACCGCTACCACCGAAGGTCCTCTCGAATTCATCCGAGATCTAATCGATACATAGCTATGTTTGGATTGACGAATGCATCGGAGTATCTAATTGGTTCTATCATTGGATAAAGCTATGATTTGCTGATCTAATAACGTTAAGGAGTTGCAGCAAAAGCTATGGCGAAAGCTATTGGGAAGATTACAAAATGGGCGTGAAAGTAAAGCAAATATGAAGGAAAACGATGCTACTTTCTCTTGTCGCTTTCCATCTCTCCTTTTAGACTCCACAGCTCAATTTCTTGACTAAAATATTACATGAAAACAATTATGAACAAACAATTAACGAAAACAATTGCTAAAAAATGGGGGGTTTAGTTCAGATCCTTCCTAATCCAGTCAACAACATAAAAGAGTTCTTGCCAAATTCTTTGTTCTTCAATCTCTTCTTCTACTAATCTTATTGTTTGATTTCCAAAAACAAAGCAGACCAGTTTTCTACTCTTTTCTGTGTTCATGTGTATCAAAGTTATTAAGAACTCAAAGCTTTTTCTACTTATGCACAATGTGTTCTTCAGAATTAAGGAAAAGAAACATTAAAAAGTCCGAAAAACATTGACAGCATTTCTGGTTCAAACTCGCCCAATTTATAACACAAGAGAAATAAATTCAAGAGGAACAGAGGGGGCAGATGGCAGGGGATGGCAGAGCATTAAAATGCGGAAGACCAGAAGGGTATACCAGAAATCAGGTAATTACATCCATGTCCCTAAATCTGAATCTCCTAGAAAGAAAAAGGTAAGTATAGTATGGTATAGTATAGTACCTGAACGCCGGGGGAATTGAAGGATAAGAGGCGGATCTTAGCGGCGACATCGCCGAGTATTCTGAGCTCAACACGGTCGTTCAAGGAGGCGTCGCGGATCAAATCAGCAGCGTCGGCTTGGAGGAGATTGACGCGATCGACGGCGACGGTGGTATCGACCTGGCGCTGGCTATGTGGTTCTTGAACAAATCCAGGAACAGAGGCTCGACCGAGCGGGATTCCTCGGTACATAACAGTGAAACGGGACTCGCTATACTTGATCCCGACCTTGTTAGGGTTAACGGCAGTGAAAACCATTCGAATGTTGAGGGAAAGGGAAGCCATAGGAGTAGTGGGAGTGTTGGGAGTGGTAATGCCCATGTACTGGACGCCGACCTGCTGGAGATCAAACTGCGGCTTCTTGGGCTTGAGGGCGAGGACGACGACGAGGACGACGGCGAGGACGAGGAGGGCGAGGAAGGAGAGGAGGAGGAAGAGGCAGCAGCAGCAGCCCTTGAAGGAGGCGGAGGAGAAGGAGGAGGATCGGGGGCTGTAGGGCGGGTGGTGGCGGTGGGTGGAGGTTGAGAGAGTGCCGTTCGGGAGGGGCCTAGAAGTTGAAGAGGACGATGACATTTCGGTTCGGTTTTCAAACCTTAGTCTCTGGATGTATGTATGGTTTATGTGGAAAATTCAAAAGGATTGAAAATATTTAGTGCTTTTTTCATCCGTTGATTTCTACGAATAAAGAGATGATATGTACACACGTGTAAAACACATATCTTTATTACAATATATTATAACTAAATAAATAAAGTTTCATAAATTGGATTCTAATTCCTTTTTTAAGAAATATTTTAAATGAATAAGTTCTTATAAATTAAGTTCAAATTGTAAAAAAAAAAAAAATAATAAAATAAAAGTTTTAACCCACCGCTAACAGATTTTATCCTCTTCACACTTTCCTTTTCGTGCTTCCCCTGAGGCTTTAAAACACGTCTACTGGAGGAAGGTTTTCATATACTTGAGAACAAATGTCACACAATTAAAAAGACAGGTTAATGATTCTCTCCAAGGAAACCATGGTAATCAATACGAATAAAATAGTGAAAAAAAAAAGTCAAAGTCAACTTTAGAAGGGTATTTTAGTCAATTTGACCATCGACATTATTAGGCATCTTGTAATGGACTAATTAGGGGTTAGTGACGGAGAATATTCAATTTGGACTCTTCCGTCCAAGTTCGTTAAGAAACGAGGAAGATCTAGAGGTAAGAGATTCAAGTTCTTGTTCTTGATTTATGAAAATCCAACGAATCTGGAAAATCATTGGTGGAAGATGAAATGTCGCTCAATGACCCGAGGAACGCGTCTTGCAACGATTGAGAAATGTGTCAGCATCTAATGGGGACGTGTGTCGGGCAAAGGAGGAGCATCGTGTCAACACTAGAAAGTTAAAAGGAAAATTGCATGCCTGCAAACTCGAGCACACACCGTCGAAGTTGAAGGAGCCAGTTGGTGATCGCTACGTGTCATAATACGAGTGGTAGTACCTCTCCGTATGCATGTGGAAGCATATGAGCGTGCGTGAGATTACTACCGGGCTTGTTTTGACTCCATTTGACAGTTTTCCACCTCGATTTCAGTACTAACCTTATTATAACTTGAATTAAGACCTACCAAATGGAAAATCTAGCTCATGAAGGCATTCACCATTCATATAAATAGCCATTCAAATTTTCTTCAGAAAATATTTGTATGAATCAGTAGAACGTACTAGCATGCGAGCATATCTTACCATAGGTGATTAGAATATGCATTATTAGAACTCAAGATGGCAATTTAGATAGAAATGCAAGGTATGTTATGGAAAATTATGAAATTACGATTTTAATGCTTTCTAATGTGGTGGAATGAGGGATGAGATATTGTTGTAACGACCCGAAATTTTCTACTTAATTTAAGGTCGCTACTGTATTCATATCATAAACATTGAATCCGGAAATATTTATTTAAACTTTCATAAAACATAACCTGAAAATAATACGACTTCATAAAACATAACACTTCAGCCTAAAACACTGCCATGGACTTGTGTGTTTGAAGACACATTTAAAAATGACACAATAAAAGACTAAATAAAATAAATAAACGTTTAAATAAAAAACATCTTATTCTAGCCTAAGTCTAAGAAAATAATACGACTACCCTATGCATGTGACATAGTCTTGAGTTGCGATGCCGTTGTCAGCTGTACAGAAATGCCTTGCCTTAATCTAAAATAGAGGTAGCACGTGGCTTGAGTATTTTAAGAAATACTCGTAAGGGACCCACTATTGGGGGTTGAATGCAATGACGGAACGTATCATATCAGTCCATTTTTCTACGGCACTATTCTAATGGGAAGCTTAGATGTGTACCATCTTCTACACACAGCCCATATGTGCGAGTATGGGCTTACCAGACAGTTCGCACACCGCTGGGCCCCATTTCTTATAGGGCGAGCCTTCTCTAGTAGCTCAACTTTTGCCGGATGCTATTAGAATTAGTAACCGTCACGACAACATTATGTAAAATATAACGATACTTGCCTAATGAATGTACGCGTCCATACCTTGTGATGGAATAGGGGTATCCCCCTATGCATGAGGACACATAATGCATGAGGTCCCAACATTTTTCCATTTTCATTATCATTTAATACAACCCCGCTAGCGTTCTGTACATATCATATCAGTTTTCATATCAAATCACATATCGTTCATCATTCATATCATATCGTTTCTCATTCTTTAGTTCTCATATCATACATAATACTAACGAGGTTATATTTCATGTCATTTTTCGTGATTTCGAGTCATTCATATCATGTTGTATACACACAATTTAGGAGACATAACATAACGGTCCATGCTTTTAACATAACATTTTATCATATACATATCATACCAGAACATATTACATCACAATATATCATATCATATACATGTCAATTTATCACATATCTTATACCATAACATAACTCATATCATATGACAACATATATATATATCCGTCATTCGCATGTCGTATCCTAATCATATCATATTGTAAACACTTCGTGGTCATGTCGTTCCCTAACTTATCATAGCCTTAACGTTCTTCTACTTATCACAGTCATGTCTTATATGAATGTACCTTAGTCATATCATCACAGGAACATATTCTAACGCTATCGTTCTATCAATCTATCACACACCTATCCCTTTCTACCCATAACCTAATTGTATTATTTTATCAATCTCTCGTATCCATAGCACTTCGGTATGTAACCTAACCTTAACGCTTCATGAACGTATCTTACTCCTATCGTTACATTTCATTTTGTGCATTTTTCTCATATCCTATATCAAACATATCATTGAGCACATCATACCGTTATTATTATCATACAATTCACATATTATAACATATACATAACATATCATATGCATATTGATCCACAAACAATTCACACATATCAATATATATGATACGTGTAGAACCACATGGCACGTGTCAACATCAAATATAACTATGCCAATAGTAAAACCACTTGTCTGATTAGCTTAGGCTGATGTCACAAACTTATCCTTAATGAAAGTTCGACGTCGCTCATTGAAATCCAAGTCAACCTATGTGAGTCCATAACATCAGTTTCAAGTTAGAACTTCTACAAAATTATTTATGTTTTACATTGGTCCATTGCTAAAAGTTTTGAAATGTTATATATCTATAATTATATTTTTATTAAATATCTTATTTTCTATAATTAGTGTTCTATAGATAGAGTTATTTCAAGTGTAACGACCCGAAATTTTCTACTTAATTTAAGGTCACTACTGTATATGTACCATAAATATTGAATGCGGAAGACTTCATTTAAATTCCATAAAATATAACTTTTATCTTAAAACACAACGAGAGGGCGACGCGTGTGCAGCGATCTCGGGTCGAGCGCGCGGGTTTTCGGTTGCAGTTGCGGGTCTGGGTTGACCGCGAGTGATGGATCGGGCCTGGACTGAGAGGAAACGTTTGCAGGTGGGCTGGGCTGTGAGCATCGGGTATTGGATTGGGCTTGCGGGTCTAGGGTCGGCTGGGTTTTTGGTCTCAGGTCGCGGCTGATGGGTTAGGCCGTAATTGGGCTTTCTGGTTTGGGCTGAGGCGACTGGGCCATGGGGGTGTCGTCGGCCGAGGTTTGGACTGGAGTGGGTTGGACTCGGTTCGGGTCGCGGGAGTCTGGCCCTCGGGTCGGACTTCGTCTTCTTCACCTGGTGACATGAAATTTTTTGACGTCCTCTCTCTCTCCTTGGTAACGTCGTTCCTGTTGGGTGTTATGTTCTAAAACTCATAGTTTGTAAACAAAAACATATTCTATTTTCAATAAAGTTATTATTGTTGTTTATTCAGTAAAGATTGTTATTGAATAAAGTGAACTTTACGATCATTAATCTAAATCCAATAAACTAAGAACACTCTGGCTATAGTATGATTACTTGAACTATATGTAGAGACATAAGAGTGGATCAAGTTCAAGTATATAGTCAAAATGATCTATAGTATAAGGATAAGGCTGAGTACCTTATTCTGGGGACACTATGGATGCGGCCCACTTTTGTATATGATATAAACAATATTGTAACGACCCTAAATTTCCACATACTCAGAGTTGCTACTAACGTCTCGCTCATCTATAATGTGGAATATAGCTCTTACATGAACATAGTTGATAACGTAAATTTAAAAAAAAACGTTTAAAACAACTTCTCCGGAAAACACAGCCATGGTCTTACGTGTTTAAATATGAAATACTGAAATTTAGAGAAAACAAAAACAAATACAAAATAATTTAAAACAATGAAATGCAAAACAACCTGTTCTAACTTATGACTAGAAATTTAAATATGAATCTACCCTATGCACGTGCCACAGTCTCTGCTCGCGATGCCGCCGTCCTCCATACAAGTGCGCCTTGCCTTTACCTGAAAAATGATGTGGCACACGGCCTGAGTATTTCAAAGAATACTCAGTAAGTGGCCCCGCTATAGGGGCCATGCAAATGCAAACACATGCAATCATGATTTAGGGACCTATCTCTAATCATCTCAGGGGTGGCCTCCAGTCTCGGACAAATTGGATGTGTAGTACTTCCCTACACACGACTCACACGTGCGAGTGTGAATCCCCAGGGCGCTCGCACACCCCCTGGACCCACTGGTCAAGCTAATCTGTAGCGACATCCGGAGGTCAGCGGAACCCCATAGTGTCATGCGCCTCATGAACACCCTCATCTGTGTGCTTTCGCACCTGTGCGCATTCGCGCTCATCATAAGGTGCGCGTCCGCACTCATCATCTCTAGGGGAAGTAGCCCTATGCTTATGAACATGCAAAGTGCATGAGGTCCCTCTAAATCCATCGTAATGTCTCTTCTGACACAACCCTATAGTCTCATCTCTTTGTTACTCTAGGTAACGCATACTCGTGGATATTTATATTAATATCATTTTCATGCTCTTAGGGTTGTGTCCTACGTCGATCTAACGACATTATGCAATATGACACTCATCATCATCTAGCATGCTCAATATGGAAAACATCATCATATTAAGGTAAAAATCATGCAATCATCATGCTCATCATAATGCCACACGTGCGTCAAACATATCAAGCGTCACTCAACAAAATATGTATATACCGCGCATATCATCAAGCATCATAATC